GTTCTGTCCGAATTTTACCTTTTTTTAAAATGAACAAAATTTAAAGAGTATTTTATAATGTCTAATGGAGATGAACATTATTTTTATGTTTAGATGCATTTAAACTGATCAAATTTTATTTCAGAGAACAATAAAATTAAATTTTGTTTGATTAAAACACTAGTAATTAGTAAGGTTGTTAATAGATGGAAGGAAGTCATAGATAATCAGGGAAAATACATTGTTGATTGAATCTGTAATTAAATGTAACATTTGGTCACTTGTTTTCTTTATTCAAAATTCGGACAGAACTTATGGGATGACCTGATATATATATATATATATATATATATATATATATATATATATATATATATATATGCTGCAATCGATAAGTTGTTGTCTAAATGACGCAAAAATAAAATAACGCTGACATTTCATTTTAACAGATATATTTACCAAAATTACATAAAATATCTTGAAATACTAAAGAGTAAATTTATTCAATAAAATCGCCATTGGCTTCAACCACGGTCTCCAGACGACTTCTGAATCTCCTGCAACTCTTCTCTATGGTCTCCTTGTTTAAGTTGCTGAATGCTGCCATAATCCTTGCCTTCAATTCATCGTTGTTGTTACACGGAGTGTTGTTGGTCTCACGCTCAACTACGCCCCCCACATAGTGATCAAAGGGTGGGGGGTTGCAATCTTTGGAGTTTGATGGCCAAATGTATCTCCACATGCGTATAAAGGAGAAGAAAGGCTGATAATTTTAAAATTTAAGTTTTTCATATGTGTTTGGCTATAAACTTCTTCCTTATGTGTCGTATCCCCTCAGGACGTAGGAGATCGTGGCTCTCCACAACTCCCTTTCTTTTATTGCTATTAAAAAATGTTGTCTTTTTATTATTTCTCCAAAACCCTATTTTACAATCCATTTATTTAAGCTCATCGAATACGTTATGGACCATTTTCCTGTGTCCCTTTTTCTCTTAATTTGTCTTGTGAGTATCAGATATTCTAAACCTCTTTTCCTCATTATTTGCCCAAGAAATTTCAACTCTCTTCCTGCTGTTAAGTATAAGTTTCCTTTTCGTTTCCATTTTCTCTCAAACTTCATCGTTGCTCGCATGTTCAGTTATGTTGTTGTCAGCATCCATCTGAAGAAGCAGATTTCTGGTACTTCAATTCACTTCTTCATCTTTGAAGAGATTATCCAACATTCACTGGCCTACAGGAGGGCAGATATCACTTAACAGTTCCGTAGTTTTTCTTCTTCCCACCTATTGATAATAGATCTACCAAGAAAGAAATCTGCACCTAAATATCCTGTTGATAACTTAATTATTAAAGAACTAAGGAAACATTATGCACATCGGAATTATTATTAAATCTATTACAGTGAACAATTAAGGCATTCAGTGGATTGTTTCGTAAAATATCGCTTTTGTGGTCATATAATATTTTATTGGCCAATGTTTCTCCTAAGTATTCTTCGTTGTAGTCATTTCAGGTGAATTCTCCTTCAAATCTTAGCTTATTATTATTTTGTTTTCTGTTAAGACTTTTATCTTTTTAGTAGTGCAACAAATTTTACGTTAAGCCATTATATATATATATATATATATATATATATATATATATATATATATATATATATATGGGAGGGAAAGAAAGTGACGCCTTGATGAATTTCATCTTAACATCAAGAAACTTATTAGAGAACTAAAAATAATCATTATAAAATAAACAGACATGTCTGTTTATTCATTTGAATGAAGATATGCTGACTAAATACACACACGCACGCCTACACGCGCGCGCACACACGCACGCACGCACACACACACACACACACACACACACACACACACACATATATATATATATATATATATATATATATATATATATATATATATATATATATAATAGGTTGAGTAATAACTAATTTCCGTTTATATTTAAATGTCAGTCTATATCTACCAAGACTTATACCGTTGAAACACTGGTTTCTGTATGATCACTGACGTTAAGCTACATCGAACTAGGTCAGTACCTAGATGGGTGACCACTTAGGAATATCAGATGCAGTAAGTTTGGATGTGCGGGTGGTGTAATGAATGCTCAGAAATTTGAATCAGAGTACCGAGTTTCAATTTCAGGTGTGTTCGTTATATTCAAATACCTTGAGGAAGGTATGAATCCACCTCTTCTTACCCACCTATGGATTAATTAGTAATATTTTTATTACTAAATCACTATTATCTCAAAAAATAATTCTTAAAATCTAAAAATATTTTCTGACTTTAAATAAACTGAAAAGGGTTGATTAGACATAAGAAATCGAATCAGTCAATCAAATAAATTTTACCAATTCAGTTTCACGGAAATTACATCCCCGCGGGAGTTTTGTCTCCAGAAGAACTCCTGGTCGACCGTTTTTATTTGGCGAAACACAATGTTTGTTATACATGATGACGAGGAGGACCATCACTGATGAGATGACGAGGAGGACCATCACCTGATGAGTTTGATCCATGGTTTTATTTCTTGTTATGCATACATGTCGAGTCATTACGTTAAGTGGGTCAAGGAGGAAAGTGCTTGTGTTAAAATTATTTATTGTGTTAAATAATTGCTTTTTACTCATCACTCTATGTATTTATTGATGTAGTCCCTACATAACCGGCAAATGTCTATTGTTATTTGTATTTTTAATAATTTCACCTAAAAAAAGGTAAAAAAAAGTCGCTAAGATGCAAGATGCTACTCTGTTTGAGAGAAAATGAGAAAAAGAAAATATTATTAACGAAGAAGAACAATTAAAGAAGAGGAATTATGAAGACAAAAGATGACAATTGAATTTGCATTTAAATATTTAAAGATCAAAGTTGACTGGAAAGTATGAAGCTGCAAGGGAATCCATAAATGCGAGAGAAGAAATTGTTAGCATAGAACTTACGGTTACATCTAACGATTTCAATTGTAAAATGATCAGGCCTTACCACCAATCTGGTGCTGCGCTTACGTTCATAAAGTCTATGTGCCAAAGTGAAAAACTCATTAAATCAGTTACCTGTATGGAAACGGCTATTCTCACATTTAACTACATCCTTTGAAAAAGAGATTAGCCCCACCACTATCACTTGTGAGTTTGCTTCTTAGCTGGGGTTTTGGATATATATTCTGTCAGTGTCATATTTAAGTGTTCGATTAGCATATAGGTTATGAATGCTTAGTTTCAAGTCATGCAAAGAATATTGACTAAACAGTCTTTCTTAGCTTATGTTTTGACCTTGTACTGAATGAAAGTTAGTCAACAAAACTGTTTAAGACATATATTTTATTTACATACATAAACGTGCCTTTAAAATGTTACGCTTATAAACATCTTATGTTTACGTTTATACAATTTGATGCGCTCATCTGTTGTAAAATTTCTTTGTTGTATTCTTGTCCCGAGTTGATAAGAATGAAAGGAACAAAAGCGAACGCTTTAGGTGAGTGAAAACACGAAAGGCTGATTTAAAAAAAGAATCGCCAAGGCACATTGTATGGGACAAACAGAACGACACAAAACCTGGGGCAGGCGATGTAGATTTTGGATGAAAACAAAATGAATTTTTTATCAAGAGAAGATAAAAAAAAAATGATCTACCGTTTACATAAAGAAAAAAAAAACATGTAGCGAAGACACAATGTAAATCCTTGGAAAGGAAGGTAAAGTAAAACAAAAGGAAATGTAGGCGATGTTGAATGAACGGTAGGGAAAAAGGGGAGATAATTGGAAGAAAGAGAGAAAAAGGGAGATAATTGAATGAAGGGGAAAAAAGGAAGCTAGTTTTAGATTACAGGAAGTTATATGAAATAAAATAGCAAAAGTAAAAAATAAATAAGAGGCAGAGGGCCGAGTCGAAGAGGAAACAGAATGAAAGAAAATGAGAAGGAGATAAACAAGCGAGGTAAAGAAGAAGAAGAAGAAGAGGAGGAGGAATAGGAAGAAGAAGAAGAAGAAGAAGAAGAAGAAGAGGAATAAAAAAAGAAGAAGAAGAAGAAGAAGAAGAAGAAGAAGAAGAGGAATAGGAAGCAGAAGATGAAGAAGAAGAGGAAAAGGGAGAAGAAGAAGGAGAAGAAGAAGAAAAAGAAGAAGAAAAAGAAGAAGAAGAAGAGGAATAGGAAGAAGAAGAAGGAGAAAAAGAAGAAGAAAAAGAAGAAGAAGAAGAAGAAGAGGAAGAAGAAGAAGAAGAAGAGGGGAAATAGTAAAAGGATAAGTTGTAAAAGAAGAAGAAATAAAAGAAGAAAAACTAGGAGTGAAAGAAGAAAAAAATGTGGCATTATTATTATTACTTGTACTAGTAGTAACAAAGAAGAAGAAGAAGAAGAAGAAGAAGAAGAATCTAAAGTAAAGAAGAAAATAATAAACATTCAAATAGCAAATATTTAGCCAAAGTGAAAAGCAAACAAATAGAAAAAAGGAGGAAAGAGAAAGAATTTGTGTTAAAGAAAAAATGAAAGAATAAAAGGAAAGAAACATTCTACAGAGAAAATCACCACTGAACTTGCTTTGATGTGACACAAATAAGAAAAGAATTATTATTATTATTATTATTAGAAGTAGTAGTATTAATAATAGTAGTAATAGTAGTAGTATTTATGATAGATTTTCCCCAATTATTTTTTCAAGTTACCATAATTGTTATTCACGCTACTTATTTATATCGGTTTTGTTAATATTAATATTAACACATCTTTCGAATTATTATTATCATTATTATTATTATTATTATTCATATATTAAACAATGGAAAGGCATCTGAGGGAAATAATGTTTTTTTTGTCGTTTTTTATTAAAAGCTTTTCGTGTAAAGGGGAAAAAAATATCTCACCCGTCTGCGCGAAAAAAAAAAAAAAAAAAAAAATAAAAATAAAAAAGTATAAAAATAAAGAAGCCGAAAGAGAAAACAAAAAACGGAGGAGAATTCCCTGGAAAATAAAAATAAAAAAAATAAAGTCAAAAA